TGTATATATATATATATATATATGTATATATATAAGGAGACTGTTCGACAAAACACTAGGAATCATTCATCAGATGTCTGGATCATGGGATGGTACATTGCACCCATGCACAACAAATATAATATATTGTTGAGATAGAATAAGAGAATAGAGTTCATAGGAAAGGACTGTATCATTCTTCTTATCATCTCAATATCAATCATAGAGGGTCCAAACAAACAGCAATGGCATTTTATGATGTTCTATCAGTCACAAATCAGGATTCATATCTGGACATATTCTATATTTTTTATAAAACCAGCACAAAAAATATGATTTATGTTAGTTTGATAATGATCAAAATAAGTGATCATAATCTATATATTATTTGGCAAATAGAAAGATCCAACTTGTTTTATGCCCTAAATGATTTGAAGGTTATGATTAGCATTCATTTCTAACTGTTTAAATTGTTGATCTTGTTCCACACAACCATTTTTAAGAATTTGGCATATCAAAAAATGACTTTATTCTAATCTTAATCCTCGTAAAAGTAAGTATATCAATCAATCAATCATGGTAACCACAGTAGTGCAACCACCTCTATCTGTCTTATGTGCATGGGAAAAACCATCAAATCTAATACTCAAATAAAAACCATCAAAGAATGAAAATTAATTAAAAAAAATATATAATTTAGAAATCAAATGAAAAAAATTAGTTATTAGAAAAAATCATCATCGATGTTTGAGTCAACTCGATGTGATCAAACCTGAGAGTGTAGAAGTACCCGAGGTGATGACTAAAGTAGCTCTAAGATAGTTACGAGATGTCTTTGAGATGGTTCCAATGTGAAAGTGTCAAACTCCTGATGTGCCTCATACACTAAGATTGATGTCAGAAAAAATTTTCTAACTCGGTTTTTCATATGCTCAAGTTAATTATCAAGATCTCTTAGTGAGTATGAGTTTTTCTGGAAATATAGTCCCCTAGTATAACGTCGAGGATTAACTTTTATGTCTAACCTTATAGAAGATAATATTTAACCACTGCAATGTTTCCCTTCTGATATTTTGTCTACATGAGTGATAAGGATAAAAAAGCCCTGAATGATTTATCTTAAACTTTTGCCCGTACATACGGATGGACAGAGGATGACTTGAACCTTTTATTTTTATAATAATTTTTATATGACGATTATATGACGGATGATATATGTTTTATTATTTGTAATTCAAAGACATATGGCTTCAGCAGTGACAAATATTGTTGAATTTTCTGATGAATTATTGTATGAATGGAAGTATAAGACTGGAAATGGTAAAAGAACATTTCAAAATAAAATTTGTCTCTCCAATTCAATAGTCTCTGGAACTAATTGAATGGTTGCACTCTTGCTTTCAGCTAGTTGTTCTATGACTTTTGCCAGTGTCTTGTACTTGTCGCATAAGATTTTTGCGTTTGTCGTTGGCAATCATATTTTGATTCTTTGAGATTATTCTCAATATAATTGTCGAGTCGCACCCATTTTTGGACCATTGTGACATGTGGAAATGCTTCTTATCTTATGGGATTGAGTTGTCTCATACACAGCTCATAAACATATGTTCACATCCCACATTAGGAATCATTAGCGATTGGATAAATTGCCACCTAAAATCAATTTCTTGTTGCCAAAATATTTTTTGCATAATTTTTTTTTGAATTTCATAGATAGATTATTGAAATTTTAAATTAGATGTATCGAAGTCGAATTGATTAAGACAAATATACATGAGATTTGACATCAATATAATTTAAAAAAATAAGATATTAAATCATGGGTTAATACATCGCCTAATTCTTTCAATTATTACTCCTTTTTTATCTCCATCTCATGCACAAATAATTTTCTAACATAAAGATCAAACTAATGTTTCATTGCTAAAAAAATTAGCAACAAAGCCACTGGAAAATTAGAACAGTCATTAAAGGATCTTAACACAAAAAACTTTTCTCACTATATTTTCATGAGTTTTTTTGGCTTTCTTTTTTTCACTAAAATAAGCAGTGTGATAAAATCATATAGTAGAAGTGAAAAATCATATATATATATATATATATATATATATATATATATATATATATGTATATATATACACACACACACACACACCCCTAAAAACACAATAGCAAAAAATATTATTTCAGACAAGTATAAATAAAAAACAAATCAACAGTACAAATATTTCATTTTCATGTCACAGTGAGTGGCCCAAAATATGTGCTTTCCATCTGTGAAGACATTCTCTTCTCCCTTCAGTTGCAGAAAGGAGCAAACAACAATGATCTCCATTTGCATTAAATCTACTTTCTACATTGATCTCCATGCAGACAAACATGTTGCATGTGTCTGGTGCCCCACCATGCAAAGATATTATGAATGATGAGAATGATGGGACTCATCACACTGAGTGTGCTATGTGCATCTATGAATAATCTTGTCACTTTGTCACTAAGCCAGGGAGAGAAACCATCTCTTGCTTTGCTTCCATTAGGATTATGATGGACTGTATGTTGGTAAAAAAATATTAATCATATGCATATTTTCAAAAAATAAAATTATTCTTCACTAGATGAGTCTGATTCAAATTAATCAATACTATAATACACCAAGGTAATAAAAAAAAAAAATCATGTGATTCTGTGTCCAAAGAGTTACACTTACTATCAATAGTTGAAGACTAGCAATAGCAAGATATCTTCCAAGGTTTTATACCTTCAATTCATGATGAATAGATCTGATACATGTCAATATTTTAATATAAATTTGAGCATTCTATTCTACCTCTGTTTGCTATTTGGAGAGTTCTATAAGGGGTTACTATTTCTCAAGAATCATTGAACCATGTGGATTTTGATATATTATGCTTAATTATTATTATAATTATTATTATATTATTCTTTCAACTTCCTTTTCTTGCTATAAACTCTCTATTATGTTGGTATTTTTGCTTAAGGATATATTTGCTACAATTTCTCTCTCTCTCTCTCTCTCTCTCTCTCTCTCTCTCTATGTGCTCCTTGCTTAGCATCTTTTATGTGCTTCATTGGGTGGATTCTTTGAGCAGGGGGAGTCTTTTTGTGGTTGGAGTTGCTTGCTCTTGTTGTCCTAACTCGGAAGTCGAGGCTAGCTGAGACCAAGGAACAGCGAGAGTACTGGACATGGTCGACGAAATGTTCTGCCACCCCCATCCTGCATCTGGACAAGGCCGCGGTCGGAAAAGGCGGCCGTGGCCACCATGTGCGCCGCTGGGAGCGGCTGCGCAAACCTTTCCATCGTGCCATATGAGCGTAGAATTTCTGCTGGCGTGGACCCATGCATGTACAAACTCTAGAGCCATGCACTGCACCTGGTGGCTGGCGATCGCTTTGTGGTCACTGCAGTATAGTGTACATGAGCAAGCATATGATGGCGAACGAGGATCACACCTCCAGTTATCTTTTCATGTAAGAAAAAGCAGGGAGAAACGACTTGGACTGTCAATCTTTGCCGGGCATTGTGGTGGTGGCATGGGGTCGGCTGTTGGCTTCAATGGCCAGCAAGAGACTCCTTTCCTCCCCCAAGACCGTGTTGTCGCTTCTCACTTTGGCATTACTCCAAGATTAGCGCAGGGCTGCTACAGCGGAGAGGACTGTTCTTCTAGCACACAACCTGGCACAAACAGGTTGCGGGCCAAAGTATCAGCAAGCTTCCGTGAGCTTTTACTGGACTTGGCCTTGACAACGCGGCCTACATTCTATTTGCATCAGATTCCATTAGATTCATCACCATGTAACCTTGAATCGTATCCATCGTCTCTTCCTGTGCTTTTGGCAGAAGCTCGTCCCCGGTAGTCTCCTACCGCACGCACGTACGTGCATGGAAGGCACTGCCGCTCCAATGGCCTGCTCTGGTACGCAGTTCCAGAACTGTTCTCCAAGAGAAAATGACTGGTTAAGCTTTATGTTTTGCCTTGGTTTCCAAGAAACTACGACAATTACAAGTCTTCGAGTTTACGTGAGGGTGCACGTCACATCTCGAGCATCTCTTAGGAGAACTTAAGAACCGAAGGAAGAGAAGAACAGTATCGCCGGTATTATTTGTCTGGTTATTTGGTTGGAGTACCGCCACCCATTTGTAAAGCGAGACAAGGAAACATCGGTGAGGAGAATGCAAGAAACAAAAGAACAAAACACGTCCTCCTCATGGAGACGATAATGTGAGCTTACGCAGATGCGATGGTGACAAGAAACGTAAGCACTCAACCTACGGTGTGCCTTTTGCGTTCCTCACGGACGACTTATCAGATTAGCCTTATGATCTTAGCCTCTTTCATCACCCTTCACGTTAGGAAGGATCAGAGAAGACGGAACCCACGCCATCTGACAAAGCCAACATGTCTACTTTACTGAAAGGTCCAAAGATGGACGATGCTGGTATTGGATCACAACAACATAGATGGGTAGAGAGAAGGACGGGGTGGAAAGGAAAGCAGCAAAAAGGCTTTGAATTAAAAGCTCTGAGGATTCCTCACGGCACTCCACTGTTGATGGCAGTGCAGGGATCGCAAGATAGAGGAGAAGAGCAGCCTGCCCATGGCGGACGTCTCTGTCCGTCACTTTTTGCCTTGTGGCCTCTGCGTTTCCACCAAGGCAGCACTGCTCGATGTGATGACGCTCGGAAGCTCCACCGCTCGCTGTAACGCCGTCACGTAATCCTTTGGATTGGCATGATGTAGTCTCGGAGAAAACTGGACCTTCTCTTTCACCAACATAAAAGGATTCACTGTTGGATCCATTGGCGGAATTCAAGACCGTCTGATCGATTGAAACCCACACCCAACCCGGAAGACGCATTCAATACTTCTGAACCTATAGACACTACAACGGATGTAATCATGCGTACATACCTCCTCCTCGTGTGTACCAGCAAATGAAGACGTAGAATCCCAACACGAATGAATGCTTATGGCAACAAAAGGCAAACAAACACAGAGAGAAGCACCGAAGGATAAGATTTGTCTACTGCATATATGTTCACAAAACATGCATGAAAACCACTCCCTACTAACAGTTCTTCTACTATGAACATTATGAAGAAGAAAACCCTAAAAGAATATGCACAATAGAACTTCTTTTTCTTTACTCTTATTGCTAATTGTATCTACGCTTTCTGCATTGTCTTTAAGCTCATGCAGTGGGCATACACTATCTACACTTTTTGTACAGAAAGTAGAAGTTTAACCTTCGATTACTGCAGTTCACTTAGAATGGAGCTCGATGAGGTATACCCTTCCGCCGCGATGTCCGGTAGCTGAGGATGGGAGGAGTCCCTGGAGAAATGCTGCCACCTTCGCTGCCGGCGGCAGAGGCGGCGGGGACTACGATGCTGCGGCCGAAGGCCAAGGTCTTTCGCACCTTCCTCGGGGTGGATGACTCGTCGGATTCTGAGCCATGCATCCACTCGCGGCCGGGTTTGGGGCGGAGGGCGAAGGTCAGGTCCGGGTCCGTCTTCATACCTCCCAGCTGAGAAGGACAAGACACAACATGATGAGAGAGAGAGAGAGAGAGAGAGAGAGAGAGAGAGAGAGAGAGCATGTGGTTGAGGGAAACACCTTGCAGCCAATGGAACAGAACCGGAAGGAATCCAAGAGGCTGCGGCAGCAGATCTCACAGGTGTTGGTGACGCCCTTTCCAGGCCTCGGCTGTGGCCTCTCGTTGAGGAAGACGATTTTGGCGCTGTTGATGATGTAAGTCTGGATGTAAGAAATGTCTATAAATTTCGACACCTCCGACACCCTGATCACATTGTGATACGATGATCTCCGAATCTACAGAGCAGAACAGATGTCGCTGATTCATTTCGGCCTTTTCGGCCGCAAGAAAAAAAGAGGAGAAAGAATCTACGAACCTGGACAACATGGTGATCCTTGTGGTCGGGGAGGCAGTAAGAACAGAGCGCGTTGCCCATGCAATCGAGGCAGTACATGTTGCACTCGCTCTTGTTGGAATCCCCATGCACCTCACAGTGCGTGAAGAAGCTCGTCTTCAACAGCGGCCTCAGCCATGGCGGACCCATGTCCTCGTTCCCCAATCGAAACATCGGGCTCACCTGCACACACACCCGCAAAAGTAACCAACAAAATTCCCAGCCATCAAACAAAACACATAAAGGTGTTGACTTTACCATAATTTTCTTCTATTTGGTCCTCAAAAACCCAATCTTTTGGTGGTTCTCAACAGCCAGCTCGCCGAGAAGTAATCCAGTGGCTAAATCTAAAACAGAGGAGCTCCAAATTGGCACCTTTATCGCATCATATCGGAAGATGAAAGGAGAAGCCTTGGGACGAGGCGCCCGAAACGACTGAGGCCTCCTCTGCTGAATCGATTCTGAGAACCGATAGCCGCCGGTGGATAAGAAAGGGGCGATCGGTGAGGAAGGAGATGGGGAAGTTCTGGAGAGCAGAGACCGGCTTATATATGGCGGTCTGTCCAAACTGTTTTGACCGGCATCTTTCTCGAAGGAAGCAAAGAAAACAAAAACAAATTGCTACGAGATAATTATATTTGTTAGAAAAGAGAAAAAAATATTTTTTTCTTTGTTTGTATTATCATACAGTGTGTATATTATATGAATATGCATAACATATTAAAGGGTAATACATAGTAGATTTGCTTACATTTATTCAGTGCATGTATTTGTTCAGGTCATATTTTCAGATATTATGGATAAGTAAACCAAGAATTGCATACATTTTTGGGTGCAGGAAAACAATAATGGTTCAATTATTTGGAATTTGACTGTTCAAATATTGACTTTGTAGATATCTAAATTAAAAGGGTTTAAAGTGGATAGCAAGATAGAACAGCTCAATTGAATGATGGATTCAAAGACTTCTTTCCCATTTTCCTATTTTCCAATTGAATGATATATATATATATATATATATATATATATATATATATATATATATATATATATATATATATATATATATATATATATATATATATATATATATATATATATATAT